CACCAACCTTTCGGTAGAAGACACACTATCCTTCGGTAGCTTACAAATCATCCCTTCGGTAGACGACACCAACCCTTCGGTACACGACACACCAATATTCAGATAGATGACACACCAAACCTTCAGTAGACGACACACTAGCGTTCGGTAGCTAACACACCATCCCTTCGGGAGACGACACACCAACCCTTCGGTAGACGACACATCAGCCCTTCGGTAAACGAAACACCAATCCTTCGGTAGACGACACACCAACCCTTCGGTAGACGATACACTAATCCTTCGATAGAAATACACCAACCCTTCGTTCGAGATACACCAACCCTTAGGTAGACGACACACCAACCATTCGGTAGACGAAACACCAACCCTTCGGTAGACGACACACCAACCCTTCGGTAGACGACACATCAGCCCTTCGGTAAACGAAACACCAATCCTTCGGTAGACGACACACCAACCCTTCGGTAGACGACACACCATCCCTTCGGTAAACGACACGCCAACCTTTTGTAGCTGACACATCAACCCTTTGGTAGACGATACACCGACCCTTCGGTAGACGACACACCATCCCTTCGGTGTCGACACGCCAACCTTTTGTACCTGACACATCAACCCTTCGGTAGACGACACACCAACCCTTCGGTAGACGACACCCCAACCTTTTGTAGCAGACAAATGAACCCTTCGGTCAACGACACAACAACCCTTCGGTAGACGACACACCAAACCTTCGGTAGACGTCACACCAACCCTTCGGTTGAGATAAACCAACCCTTCGGTAGACGACACACCAACCCTTTGTTGACGACACGCCAACCTTTTGTAGCTGACACATCAACCCTTCGGTAGACGACACACCATCCCTTCGGTAGACGACACGCCAAACTTTTGTAGCTTACACATAATCCCTTCGGTAGACGACACACCAACCCTTCGGTACACGACACACTTATACTTCGGTACACGACACACCAAATCTTCAGTAGACGACACACTAGCATTCGGTAGCTAACACACCATCCCTTCGGTAGACGACACACCAACCCTTTGCAGACCACACACCAACCTTTCGGTAGAAGACACATTAATCCTTCGATAGAAATACACCAACCCTTCGGTTGAGATACACCAAACCTTCGTTCGAGATACACCAACCTTCGGTAGACGACACACCAACCCTTCGGTAGACGAAACACAAACCCTTCGGTAGACGACACACCATCCCTTCGGTAAATGACACACCAGCCCTTCGGTAGACATCACATCAACCCTTCGGTAGACGACACACCAACCTTTTGTAGCTGACACATCAACCCTTCGGTAGACGACATACCAACCCTTCGGTAGACGACACCCCATCCCTTCGGTAGACGACACGCCAACCTTTTGTACCTGACACATCAACCCTTTGCTAGACGACAAACCAACCCTTCGGTAGACGACACACCATCCCTTCGGTAGACGACACGCCAACCTTTTGTAGCTGACACATGAACCCTTCGGTCAACGACACACCAAACCTTCGGTAGACGTCACACCAACCCTTCGGTAGAGATACACCAACACTTCGGTAGACGACACACCAACCCTTCGGTAGACGACACACCAACCCTTTGTTGACGACACACCAACCCTTCGGTAGACGACACATCAACCCTTTGTTGACGACACACCAACCCTTCGGTAGACGACACATCAAGCCTTTGTAGCTGATACACCATCTCTTCGGCAGACGACATATCAACTCTTCGATAGACGACACATCAACCCTTCGGTAAACGACACACCAGCCCTTCGGTAGACGACACATTAACCCTTTGGTAGACGACACACCATCCTTTCGGTGGACGACACAAACCCTTCGGTAGACGACAAATCAACCCTTTGGTAGACGACACACTAACCCTTTGGTAGACGACACACCAGTCCTTCGGTAGACGACACACCAACAAAAGACACGTAGACGATCAAGTTGACACTGATGTACGTGTGTATTTGTTTTGATATTTTATATCAACAGATATATTAGTCAATTATCACTCCCCTGTATTGTACTGGTGCAAAATGCCGGTTACCATTTACCTGCTCATATGAACATTATTTGTTTGTTACGGACGTGAGCTTGCTTCAATTACGTATGTCGTAACACATGTTAGAAAATAAAGGATCAATTACAACAGGTTCCATTAATTAATTTTGTTTATATTGTTCGTCATGTATTTAAAACATATTTTATGGTAGCTTTGGTTAAAACTTATCGTATGAACTTTAATTTCATTGAAACTGTCTGTATAATTCCTTTATCACTCCATTTTATTATGTTATGATGTCAAGAAATATTATTGACAAGAAAATTGATATCAGACTAGTTCTATTTGAACCCCCTTCCACTTTCATCATTTTAAATGCATTTTTAACAAAGGGAATAAATCAACAACACGAGAGGTCAAGTTGTTAGGTGGAAATAAAGATACTCACTCACGAGACCCACTACTTGTTTTATGTTTGTCGCCTACCTTGGCTGAACCCATTAACTTTCTCACCATCAAACACAACAAACATAAGATAACGACTGGAACTATAAGGTTATGTCATAGTCTCTCCTACTTCATTCCTTAACAGTTCTTAATTAAACTGTATACAACATTATTGTTTTTTCATATTATTCCCGACAAGAAATTGGACAGGAGTGCATCACGTGTCCACCGATAAAAACCGATATTGACTTGGAGCGCGTGATTTTTGTTAAAGGACTGGGTGTTTCTAAAAATAGAATCATGACGGGTCTCCAAAGGAACGCATCGTCCCGCTTCCGTAGATTTTTGCTGTGATTTTTTTTCAGATTGCTAACATTTCTCTTTTGAAAATCATAAAACAATTGTAGCCTTTGACTTTGGTCGATACCTGGATTTATCGACCCCAGCCAAAGGCTATAATTGAATACTATAAGAAAATGATATTTTTGAAAACATGTGAGTGAGAAGTATACTTTGTATTACCAGATTAAAAGGTCAAAAGAAACTAATTTTAAATGGCGCCAGATGCGTTCATGCATTACAGACTTTTCTTACTAAGTTTCCTTGTTACTCCAATATTCTAGACAGAGCTGATAGTTAAATTCATGATTATGAATTTTCTCACCAAAAACATATTTAGGTTATTGCCGTTAGAAAGAAAATCAATTGGATTTCATAACTTCATATTTCCAGTCGTTATTTCAATTATACGAAACCTCAAATTTCCATTCATTACTTCTCCCTCTAGCGGAAAAAAGTAGCGCAACACAAATAAAATTTGTACGGTTTAAAAGTAGACATTTCATTAAGAGAACTGTTTTAAAACACCATTGTATATTTACATTCTGATGTCAATACCACTTCTAGGTGGATGGTTATGTTTTATTCATTCCGCAATCATAGTACTGAATGAACAAGAACCGGAACTTCTATGTAACGGCTGAGGAAATCCCCATTGGATATTGTACTTAGATACCCGATGTTTACATTATACATAGACCTCGTTATACTGTTATAAAGTAATAAAAACTTACAAAATTGTTATCAAAACGTTTGGAAAAGCACTACCTCATATGCCGTTCTATTCGTTACAACAGCTAAAGTAATGAAATAATTATGTGCTCGAACATATCGAAATAAGCCGGAATCTTTCTTTTTAGAGCAAAACAATTAGTGAATAGCTGTTAGCTAGATAAGCCTTGAGTAAGATTAAGAAATTCACCAAATATGACTTACGTGTACAAACTAGAAACTAGTGGTCACCTGGATAATGTGAACTATTCCAAAACCTTACTCAGCAATAATTTACATACTCAATATTATTTACTTTATTTACTTTTTACCGTATTTATAATTACATATATATGTATCCTTGTCTGGCTTCAACAAGTGTCCTGAGGAGTATGTACTGACAACGTTAGACGATATTTTAACTCATAGAGGCCGCAATCGGCTGTCGTGTTGACAATAAGGACGGTATATAGAGTAAACCTAACTTATTTATCGTATGCTGTCTGCTTGCTAAGTGGTGCAATGCTATAATAGGAACACAAACACGTGTTCAATTAATCGTCCCAGTGCAACTCGCTATCCAAAATTGACAATGAAAATAATAACAAACAATAATAATAATATACAGCATGTGATATAGCGCCCTATCTAGCTAACATAAGTCACCCTAAAGCACTTTAAAGTACATAGATATACAATCAATACAATTAGCATTTACAATTTTGAGGATTTCGCAGGAGCTGGCTTATTAGGCGCTAACTACTAGTCATATGCCACCTGACTAATATCTCCCAATGTGTGTATGCCTGCGTGTAAGCTAGATATGTAATGTGTTCTGTTTGTAGTGGACCCGTGCTTCCAACGGCATCATTTATAGTACCACATCACTTGAATGCTAGAGCACAGATACCGCAGCATCCACCCAAGACCAATTTATACTTCACCAGAGCTGTTGGGGGTTGTGTGGGGAGGAGAAAAGCCTTTTCTCTGGATATCCATGCGAACGACAACTTCGGGGATTGAACCCCGACCGCCTGCGTGGAAGGCCGGAGTGTTAACCACTCGACCGATCCGCCCATAAACTACATTTTAAAGTGACCGTATTATACATGTAATAGTGATGGGCCCGTACCTTATTTTCCATAATGCTTCATATTGTATAATAAATATTCCAAATAGCCACATGATCTTAGCAGTGTGTACACTTTTTAAGTAATCACTCTTAGGAATTTACAGCAATTTCATAAGTTTTAAAGTAACGTCCTTTCTATGTGTGCATCAAGTTTAATTCTTCGAATAAACGGTAACGGATCTCGTTGACATTCATCGAAGTAGTGCCAATGTTACCTTTAAAGAAGTACAACGTACTTAAAAACGGGACTCATAAGTGCATAGACCTTTCAACATCAAGTGAAGAGACCTAGATTTGAACAAAAATGTAAGAACAAATGATTAAAATGAACTTTATTGAAATGTATAGGATTTTGGTGTATGAATGGTTATAGAGCAACAGTACCTTGCACGAGTGTTCATTGGCAGACAATGTAATACCGTGAAATCAGATACTTTCGAGGGGTCTAAATTTCATGGTATAACGTCAAAATACTATTTTGTTTGTACATGAATTCATGGATTACGAGTACCCACTCAAACGGAGTTTCTCTATATCAAATTTGTTTTGGCTTTGTGGACCTATGAATCTGTGGATGAAAATAACCCACAAAATCAACGAAATTAACGAAATTAAAAACCCCACGAAAAGTAGTGATTTCACAGTACTTGTGTATATACGAGGGAAGCAGGATCATTTCCTATATATGCAAATAACTATTGTAGTATCTTCAGGAGAATTTACTATATGCGCAACAATTGGTGTAATATATACAGGAATATCCATTACACACGTACCAATTATTGTTATATGTTGACAAGAACATTTTCTGCACATTCAAATATAACCACAGTGTCTCCATAGGAGCATTTATTACACATGCAACAATTAATGTTATATATATATATATATATATATATGTATATGCACGTACCTGTACATCGGAACATCTACTTCATTCCTACATGTATATCACATGTACATGTACTGTGATATAAACATGTACGTAGCTATAATAGAGATACTTTCTGTACTAGAACATAAGTGTCAGCTCTTTATATGGCTCTTAATGTACAGCATTAAATAGCATAGTCTGTGTTTAACTAATATTAACTTATATTATCACAAAAGCAGTCGTTATCTCAGAAATGCATTAAACTCGTATAGCACATATACATGTATATATTCAACAGCAATAATTTGCAATTATTATTTTATTTGGCATCAAATCATTGAACTGCGATCATCATATATTTCATTACGAATCAAACAGTAGCAAATATACAGTACGAGTTCAAACTCTAGATAGCAACCTGTCTTAATCCCTCTGTTCTTTGTCATCGTACATCAATGTGGGCGCTACGCTTGTGATTTTATTAAATCCGTATTTTCCGTTCGTGACAAATTTCCTTTCTTCTCGAATTGAGTTCAAATACCTCATTCTATTTTTATTGTGTGTATAGTAATCCGCGAAATTGGAAGCAATTATTGCAACGGGCATTGCCAACAACAACAGTCCACTTACTGCACAGAGGACCCCCACGACGTAACCCATGGCTGTAGTTGGGAAGAAATCGCCATAGCCAACCGTCGTCATAGTTATGATAGCCCACCACATCGCAATGAACAGATTGTCATACGTACCGTCATCAAATATCTCTGCATAGAATATAGCACACGCAAAGATGACAGTAGCGACACCAAATGTTATACACAAGAGAAACAATTCTTTCAGACTTGCTTTGATGGCATAAAGTAACACACGGAAAGCGCTAAACTGTTTCTGCAGCCGTAAAAATAAAAGAACTCGCAATACAGTGAAGAATCGGACAATCATAAAAAATATGGCAGTGCTCTGAGATTCTATCATTTCACCTTTGTAGAATTCAAAAGCAAATGTTAACCACATACTGAGGACGAGAACGGAGGAAATTAACTTCATAGGACTACACATAAGTTTCCTACGACACGGACATAGTACACAACTTAGAACAAGTTCCACCGTGAAAATGATCATACACATAAACTCCACCACGAACAGACTCGGGTCCATGTCCTTCATGTAGTAGATTCGGAGCTTCTCGGATGGTATGCTATAATTGACGAGCTCCGGATGAAGCACTGAGAGGTAGAGGTCGCTTCTGTATTCGGCCATGGACGCCATGAAGAACACCAGCGTACTTGCACTGACCACAAGCATGTAGATAGAGTTCCATATCTGTAAATATAAGCATTACTATGGTCACAACAAGTTTTAATTCATTTATAGTTTTATTCCGCGTTTTACCCTACCCCTAGTAGTATGTATTGCAAACGCTTCTCTCTATAAAAGGTCGAGAGCGAGTATAGGCATCTGTGCAGAGTATAGTTGTCACGGACATATTCTGATTACAATTTGTATGCGGAAACATAAGATAGTAGAGACAGATGGGAAGTATTGACATGAGAGTTATAGTTGATACAGACAGGAGATCGTTACCGAAATGTGGTAGGTGTATGCTAGTGGGTGTGACAGTATGGATAACGGATGAGTGTTTAGGATGTGATGCCTTCGCAATAATGAATAGTAATATAATGTGTCATGTGACGACGGTGTCTAAAATCTGATGGGCCCCTCAAGCGGCATCACACGGATACATTTATGTACGTTATTATTGGAAAATCTGTATTTCACTAGTACCATTTTTCATACATGTTTTGTAACGTAGAATATATTGTATCAAACGTAAACTGATGTCTTCGCTAATTAACAAAATTTGCCGAAAAGTAAACAAGTAACGAAGGACAGTTAACAAATGCCCTACTTATATTTTATTACATAGGTTCGATTGTTGTTAAAAACATTATTCTAAAATAGTTATCCTCTCGAATATTTCTCATAAATTGCGACATTTAGTAAACTAGTGAATTAAACTAAATGTCACATTTATATCAGCTTTACATAGTTTCTATTGTTGCTACGAACATTATTTTGAAATTGCAAGTATCACACTGCATCCCCTTAACCAAAACAATCCCCTGGTATTGGTAACATGTGCTGTTCTTCCATTGTACTACATAATCGCCTTACGAGCTATGGTATGGCGAGTCTGGACTACTAAATATTATATTCACATTAACTGGACAGATAACCGACAAACAGTCATGAATATCTATAAAGTTTTAGTGTTATAATATAACATATCAATAAATGGTCTAGGAGTAAGGCGAGATGTTTATATAGGATGGTTTTAGTGTTATAATATAACATACAAATGTATCAATAAATGGTCTAGGATTAAGGCGAGATGTTTATATAGGATTGTTTTAGTGTTATAATATAACATATCAATGTTTATATAGGATGGTTTTAGTGTTATAATATAACATATCAATAAATGATCTAGGATTAAGGCGAGATGTTTATAAAGGATGGTTTCAGTGTTATAATATAACATATCAATAAATGATCTAGGAGTAAGGCGAGGTGTTTATATAGGATGGTTTTAGTGTTATAATATAACATATCAATGTTTATATAGGATGATTTTAGTGTTATAATATAACATATCAATGTGTATATAGGATGGTTTAAGTGTTATAATATAACATATCAATGTGTATTAAGGATGGTTTTAGTGTTATAATATAACATATCAATGTTTATATAGGATGGTGTAAGTGTTATAATATAACATATCAATGTTTATAAAGGATGGTTTTAGTGTTATAATATAATATATCAATGTTTATATAGGATGGTGTTAGTGTTATAATATAACATATCAATGTTTATATAGGATGGTGTAAGTGTTATAATATAACATATCAATGTTTATATAGGATGATTTTAGTGTAATAATATAACATATCAATGTTTATATAGGATGGTTTTAGTGTTATAATATAACATATCAATGTTTAAATAGGATGTTTTTAGTGTTATAATATAACATATCAATGTTTATATAGGATGGTTGTAGTGTTATAATATAACATATCAATAAATGGTTTAGGAGTAAGGCGAGATGTTTATATAGGATGGTTTTAGTGTTATAATATAACATATCAATAAATGGTTTAGGAGTAAGGCGAGATGTTTATATAAGATGGTTTTAGTGTTATAATATAACATATCAATAAATGGTCTGGGAGTAAGGCGAGATGTTTATAAAGGATGATTTAAGTGTTATAATATAACATATCAATAAATGATCTAGGAGTAAGGGGAGATGTTTGTATAGGATGGTTTTAGAGTTATAATATAACATATCAATAAATGATCTAGGAGTAAGGCGAGACGTTTATGTAGGATGGCTTTACTAGGATTAAGGCGAGATGTTTATATAGGATGGTTTTAGTGTTATAATATAATATATCAATGTTTATATAGGATGGTTTTAGTGTTTTAATATAACATATCAATGTTTATATAGGATGGTTTTAGTGTTATTATATAACATACCAATGTTTATAAAGGATGGTTTTAGTGTTATTATATAACATATCAATGTTTATATAGGATGGTTTTAGTGTGATAATATAACATATCAATGTTTATATAGGATGGTTTTAGTGTGATAATATAACATATCAATGTTTATATAGGATGGTTTTAGTGTTATGATATAACATATCAATGTTTATATAGGATGGTTTTAGTGTTTTAATATAACATATCAATGGGTATATAGAATGGTTTTAGTGTTATAATATAACATATCAATGATTATAAAGGATGGTTTTAGCGTTATAATATAGCATGTCAATGTTTATAGTAGTATATATATCAATGTTTATATAGGATGGTGTAAGTGTTATAATATAACATATCAATGTTTATATAGGATGGTTTTAGTGTTTTAATATAACATATCAATGTTTATATAGGATGGTTTTAGTGTGATAATATAACATATCAATGTTTATAAAGGATGGTCTTAGTGTTATAATATAACATATCAATGTTTATAGAGGATGGTTTTAGTGTTATAATATAACATATCAGTGTTTATATAGGATGGTTTTAGTGTTATTATATAACATACCAATGTTTATAAAGTATGATTTTAGTGTTATAATATAACATATCAATGTTTATAGAGGATGGTTTTAGTGTTATAATATAACATATCAGTGTTTATATAGGATGGTTTTAGTGTTATTATATAACATATCAATAAATGATCTAGGAGTAAGGCGTGATGTTTATATAGGATGGTTTTAGTGTTATAATATAACATATCAGTGTTTATATAGGATGGTTTTAGTGTTATTATATAACATATCAAAGTTTTTAAAGGATGGTTTTAGTGTTATAATATCTAGGAGTAAGGCGAGATGTTTATATAGGATGGTTTTAGAGTTATAATATAACATATCAATAAATGATCTAGGAGTAAGGGGAGATGTTTATATAGGATGGTTTTAGTGTTATAATATAACATATCAGTGTTTATATAGGATGGTTTTAGTGTTATTATATAACATATCAATAAATGATCTAGGAGTAAGGCGAGATGTTTATATAGGATGGTTTTAGTGTTATTATATAACATACCAATGTTTATAAAGTATGATTTTAGTGTTATAATATAACATATCAATGTTTATATAGGATGGTTTTAGTGTGATAATATAACATATCAATGTTTATATAGGATGGTTTTAGTGTTATAATATAACATATCAATGTTTATATAGGATGGTTTTAGTGTTATAATATAANCAGAGACGTATAATACGTCTCTGAAAATAGTTATCTTCTCAGATCGTTTTATTCCATTTCGTTTTCAATCATTCCTCGCGTTTCGTTCCACCTACTTTCAATCCATTCCGTTCCTGTGAGCAAANATAACATATCAATGATTATAAAGGATGGTTTTAGCGTTATAATATAGCATGTCAATGTTTATAGTAGTATATGTAGGTCTGGTAACGGTACATAATTGTTATAGTAATGTACATAGGTCTGGTAACGGTACATAACTGTTATAGTAGTATACGTAGGTCTGGTAACTATACATAACTGTTATAGTAGTATACGTAGGTCTGGTAACAGCACATAACTGTTATAGTGGTATACGTAGGTCTGGTAACGGTACATAACTGTTATAGTATACGTGGTAGGTCTGGTAACAGTACATATCTGTTATAGTAGTATACGTAGGTCTGGTAACGTTACATAACTGTTATAGTAGTATGTGTAGGTCTGGTAACGGTACATAACTGTTATAGTAGTGTACGTAGGTCTTGTAACGGTACATAACTGTTATAGTGGTATGTGGCTTCGCCTCAGTCAATATCACTCTTTCAGGTTCATATCACATCATATTCACCAGCACAAAAGTCCATAATTGTATATTATTATATGCATGAACATTTCTCGCAATCACATTGGTCGGATCCTTTCCATGTGACCAGTCCTCAAAAACTCATGTAGACCGGTGAATATCGATTTCTAAATATAGCCTGTATGGAAATTCCCCGGAACCTGTCGTAGCGCATGCGCAGTTAGACTGGAACGCGATCTGTCAGACGACATTAGAAGATGGCTGCTGGCGAACGTTTCTCCTCCGTTAGGAAAATTACCAAAACTATTCGAGGATAAAGATGCTGTTAACTTAAAAAAGGCCATTGAACCCGCAGTGCATGTCCTCCATGCTTATCTTCAGAAAAAGAACCTAGACGATGCCTGCGAAAGCTACAATGATGAACTGTTGTATTCAATCCCGGCTAAATTTTACATGGAGGCTCGCGTACAAAAATCAGAACCTTTGGTTTTGTTTTGTTTTATTCTATTGTTTAAGCATATAATAAAACAGTTATGGGCTTTTGTGCTGGTAAATATGATGTGATATGAACCTGACGCCTCAGTCAATATCAAATTTTTGCCAATACACAGTACCACACCTTGGCTACATAAATCATCCGTCCCCCTTGAAAGTTTACATTCTGTTGTAAACATTTTAATGAATTTTATAGAAGTCAGTTTTCAAACTAAACACTGTTTCATTAAAACAAGTTCTTTATATATTTTATTTAAGTTTAAATAAAGATAGACACTGCAACCATGGTAACATACTTAGTATATGGCCCATGTGTTTGTATTGGTCCTTAGCTTGATGACACTTGTATGTAGGACACTGTCTGTTATTATAGCACCATCGGGTACCGTAACTGATGCTGGTCATGTCAGGCACACCTCTATGTTGGGTTCGGATAACGGCTAATAGCAAT